TGTCCTCCCAATCCACCAGGTGTCCTCCTAATCCACCAGGTGTCTTCCCAATTCACCAGGTGTCCTCCCAATCCACCAGGTGTCTTCCCAATTCACCAGGTGTCCTCCCAATCCACCAGGTGTCTTCCCAATCCACCAGGTGTCTTCCCAAACCACCAGGTGTCTTCCCAATCCACCAGGTGTCTTCCCAATCCACCAGGTGTCTTCCCAATCCACCAGGTGTCTTCCTAATCCACCAGGTCTCTTCCCAATCCACCAGGTGTCCTCCCAATCCACCAGATCTGCTCCCACACCACCAATATAGCAGTTGATTGATTGACAGTTGAGAGGAGTCCCGAAAGAGCAGAGCTCAACCTCCGCAAGCACAACTAAGTGAATACAACTAGGTGAATACTTGGTCTCCTCCCACTCCACCTCTCCTCTCGTCTCTCCTCAGACAAGCATGAAACAGTCGATTAAGGCAGCGTCTGGGATGCTCTCGGACGTAGGTTCGAATCCTCGTCACGGCCCTTGTGGATCTAAACATGAAACACTTGCATCCCCCGATGTCCCAACTCTCCAAATCTTTGTCTAAGCGGAGTTATAAGTCTGCTTATAAAGTGGAAGGAGACACAGTCTCTTAAACGTATTAAGAATGTGTGTAATGACTAGAGGTCGTAAATTGACTTTACTATAAGTTATATGAAAAGTATGAGGATATATAAGCAAAGGTTAGGTAAAGGTAACTTAGGTTAAGATGTTGGGTTACAATGTTGCATGGAAGGACAAATATATGGGATTAAGGTTAGGTTAGGGTCGGTTGGGTTAGGTTAGGGTCGGTTGAGTTAGGTTAGGGATGGATGCACAAACAACACTTTACTAAGAATAATAGAGATAGAGAGCAGAACTAACGGAGGGAAATGGTAATAAGAATTGGGTTGTTAAGACAAGATATTTAAATTAGTTGAATGTGCGTTTGTGTAATGTTCTGAAATTAGCATTTGTGAAAGAGTTTCTTAAAGTGACTAAGTGTTGAACAAATCCACAAGGGCCGTGACGAGGATTCGAACCTACGTCTGAGAGCATCCCAGACGCTGCCTTAATCGACTGAGCTACGACATGGTATAAGAATTGCAACCAGAAATTCTACTGAATTTATTTGGATCCTGCAGCCTCTCCGAGACACTAACCAGGATTTTTACACTTTATTCATTTGATACATCAGGCTATTGTGATTACTGTGTGTAGTGTGTCTAAGTGTTTGTGAGAGTTGTGCTAGTTTGAGAGTGCTTGTGATCTGAGTTAATACATGAGTGTATGTAAATATTGGCATGTTTGACTCAGTTATTGTAATTTGTGTAAGTTTGAGAGAATTTGTATATACAAGTGAACTTGTGAAAGTTTGAGAAAGTTAATGAACTGGGAGTATGTGTGCGTGCGCCAGTCTGTGTTTTGTGTACGTTTGTATGAATTTGTATAAGTTTGTATGCATTTGTATGTACAATTTATATTATAAAAGTTTAGAAAGTGTTTATGAGCAAAGTAAAATTATGAAGTGAGTTATTGGGCGAGTTGTATAAGTTTGTGTTGTATAAGTTTGTGTTGTATATTTAAATGTATGTGCATGTGTTTGTGCTACTCTCTGTTTGGAGGTACAAGTTTGAATAAGTTTGTGAAAAAAGTGCTTGAGTAAGTCTATGCAAATTCTTGTTTATAAAAGTGTATATATTTTGTCAGAGTTGTGTGAATTTGTATATATGTTTGTGTATGTAATATGTAAGCGTTGGTTTGTAAGTATAAGTGTGAAAGAGCGTTGTCTGGGTAAATATATAAGTGGAGAGTTGATGCTCTAAATCATTTTAAATGAAGGTAAATAATTTGTAAATAGATAAATAAATTTGTAAGTAAATAAATATGTTATGCTATGAAAGTTTTCCCTAAACTTATTTGATGATATAGAAAACACAGAAATGCGGGTTGTTTATACATAACAATGAACTAGTTACTGAATAAAGATGTAACAGAAACATTTGCACATTTTGGTGCTAAAATATTTAGAGAATATGTAAGAGCAGGTGAAGAACATAGAGAACATGAATTGTTCTGACTGAGAACATGCTGTGAACATAGAAACCCCCTGCTGTGAGCATTCGAAGAACAAGAGAAGAGTAAGAAAAGATTGTGGGGGAGTAGGGAGGGTGCGAGGGGGAGCTGGAGGGGGTTGAGAAAGATAGTGAGAGGGAAGGGAGGGGGTGAGGGAGATAGTGAGAGTGAAGGGAGGGGGTGAGAGAGAGTTATTTCAGTTGGTGCGAGCTCTCAATTATCCCAAATGAGAGAGATGAGGCCTGTTATGAGCGGTTAAACCCTACCTGGAGAGTGTTTACACACACACACACACGCACACACACACACACCCACACACACACACGCGCACGCACCCACACCCACACACACACACACGCACGCACCCACACCCATCCCCACACACACACACACACGCGCACGCACCCACACCCACACACACACACACACACACACACACACACACACACACACACACACACACACACACACACACACACACACACACACACACACACGCGCACGCACCCACACCCACACACACACACACGCACGCACCCACACCCATCCCCACACACACACACACACGCGCACGCACCCACACCCACACACACACACACACACACACACACACACACACACACACACACACACACACACACACACACACACACACACACACACACACACCACACACACCACACACACACGCGCACGCACCCACACCCACACACACACACACGCACACACCCACACCCATCCCCACACACACACACACGCGCGCACGCACCCACACCCACACACACACGCACACACCCACACCCATCCCCACACACACACACACACACACACACACACACACACACACACACACACACACACACACACACACACACACACACACACACACACACACACACACACACACACACACACACACACACACACACACACACACACACACACACACACACGTACGACTATTGAGGGAGAGGTCATGTGCTTACCTACATGTATCTAGGAAACATGTTTACTTTGTTAAACGTGACGGATAAGAGCCGGTCTCCTGTTCTGAAATAACTATGTTTGACTTCTTACGAAAATTGAACTGTTAATAACGAACTCACAAGAGCGAACTAAGCCGAATGACAAGAGCTGGAGCTCGGTAACTAGCTTTATCTCGATTAATACGTCCGAAATATCTATGTATTAAATCTCGTGAAAATTGGGCAGTTAGTAGCGAAACTACAAGAGTGAACGAAGGCGGAGGACAGAAGCTACAACTCGGTGACTAATTCATTGTATTTAATGTGACTAAAATAACTATATTTTTAATTTTAGTGATAATAACAAAATTATATCACTATCAACTATCACGTTGGTAGCAACAAAATTGTAAGAGATAACTAGGGCGGAGGACAGGAGCTAAAACTCGGTAACTCTATTTTCTTTTCTTAATACGTCTGAATTATGTCTGTTTTAAATCTTGCGGAAATAGAACTATTAATAACGAACTTACAAGAGGAAACAAAGGTGGAGGACAGGAGCTGGAACTCGGTAACGAACTTTATCACATTTACTACATCGGAAGTACAATGGTTTTAAATTTCCGGACAGTCGGGTTAATTGTAACAAAGTTACCAGAGGGAACTATGGCATGGGGGACATGAGCTGAAACTCAGTAACCAACTTTATTTTGATTAATATGTTCTAAAAAGTGCCTTTTAAATCTTATGGAAATAACGTTAATATTTATGAAACTACACCTATAAACATTAAGAGGCAGGTCCAAGAACTAACATTTGACATTATTAATTACTTCACATACCTTTAATTAACATATCCTCTGAAAATGGAAAACTTCTGATTAATTTTACCCTAAAATAGGTGGTACGGTAGAGACCAAATTTCCTCCATAAGAATTCCTTGCAACGAGGAATTTTTCCAACAGCAGTGAGGAATTTTCCCCTTAAGAATTCCTTAACACCGCGGCGAGTATTTTTACCCATAACAATTCCTTAAGACCCCAGCGACGAATTGAGACTCGGCCTGAAAACGAGAACTACTTTGCGAGAAATTTTTAAAGTAACGACCTACCACAACAAAAATGGTACTACTTAGCGAGAAATGTGCCGAACCAAAAATTGGCCGCTACGTAGTCTATCCCTCTACTCAAATACAATGGCTAAGTGGCTAGAGTTGCATGCCCATGTGGAGAACTTAAGTAATGCCTAATTGGAGTGTCTTGGCGAAATGTTCAGTGGAAGTGTCCAGATAGAGTACCCAAGTAGAGTTCCAAAATGGAGTTCCAGGGTAGAATGCCCAATTTTAGTTCCAAAAAAAGGAGTGGCCAAGTGCAATACCCAGGTGGAGTGCATGTCTAGTACCAGCAGAGTGGAGGGGTCGTGTGTGTGGGGGGGAGTACGACCTCCCATATAAAACCAGTGAATTCATCACCATCACGTGGTCGTACTTACCTCCCCTGGGAGGTTGGGGGGCCCGGTACACCCCTAGCATATTCTATTTGATGTAGACTTTAATATGAGGCGAATAGATATGCATGGAAACTCATTTAAAAAAATGTGCTAAACTTCTGCTTTTTGTCGAACACAATATTCTGATTGTCCCCTTTGCTCGAAAATCCTCTTAATCCCACTGTCCTCTGCAGTCAACTAATTCAGGGGGATTACTGGATTAAATTAATACAACAATTTGCTATATTAATATTTTGTTCCGTTGGTTCTCTATATATCAATTATCAGTTATGAATTATATATTGTGACGCCACTGTCCAGGGCTGAAAATCAGTCACATGTTTTTTGGGTATTAGTTATACATTGAATATTAGTATAATAGGTGACCTCTGACCTGCCTTCCTCTGCCTTCCTCTGCCTTCCTCTGCCTTCCTCTGCCTTCCTCTGCCATCCTCTGCCTTCCTTATGGCTCGTGGGCCTGCCAGCTGTGGTCAAACCCTGCCATTCACCCACAATTATTTGCTGCCATCCTATAATCCTGTCAGTGTTCCTGCTGCTGTTCTCCTCCCCTGTGTCAGTGTTCTTGCTACGATACCTGCTGGAGGCGGCCAGGATGACGATACCCGCACCACAGCCATGATACCTGCTGGAGGCGGCCAGGGTGACGATACCCGCACCACAGCCATGATACCTGCTGGAGGCGGCCAGGGTGACGATATCCGCACCACAGCCATGATACCTGCTGGAGGCGGCCAAGGTGACATTACCCGCACCACAGCCACGATACCTGCTGGAGGCGGCCAAGGTGACATTACCCGCACCACAGCCACGATACCTGCTGGAGGCGACCAGGATGACGATACCCGCACCACAGCCACGATACCTGCTGGAGGCGACCAGGATGACGATACCCGCACCACAGCCACGATACCTGCCGGAGGCGGCCAGGGTGACGATACCCGCACCACAGCCACGATACCTGCTGGAGGCGACCAGGATGACGATACCCGCACCACAGCCATGATACCTGCTGGAGGCGGCCAGGGTGACGATACCCGCACCACAGCTACGATACCTCCTATAGGCAGCCAGGGTGACGATACCCGCACCACAGCCACGATACCTGCTGGAGGCGGCCAGGGTGACGATACCCGCACCACAGCCACGATACCTCCTGGAGGCGGCCAGGGGGACGATACCCGCACCACAGCCACGATACCTGCTGGAGGCGGCCAGGGTGACGATACCCGCACCACAGCCACGATACCTGCTGGAGGCGGCCAGGGGGACGATACCCGCACCACAGCCACGATACCTGCTGGAGGCGGCCAGGGTGACGATACCCGCACCACAGCCACGATACCTGCTGGAGGCGGCCAGGGTGACGATACCCGCACCACAGCCACGATACCTCCTGGAGGCGGCCAGGGTGACGATACCCGCACCACAGCCACGATACCTGCTGGAGGCGGCCAGGGTGACGATACCCGCACCACAGCCACGATACCTGCTGGAGGCGGCCAGGGTGACGATACCCGCACCACAGCCACGATACCTGCTGGAGGCGGCCAGGGTGACGATACCCGCACCACAGCCACGATACCTGCTGGAGGCGGCCAGGGTGACGATACCCGCACCACAGCCACGATACCTGCTGGAGGCGGCCAGGGTGACGATACCCGCACCACAGCCACGATACCTGCTGGAGGCGGCCAGGGTGACGATACCCGCACCACAGCCACGATACCTGCTGGAGGCGGCCAGGGGGACGATACCCGCACCACAGCCACGATACCTGCTGGAGGCGGCCAGGGTGACGATACCCGCACCACAGCCACGATACCTGCTGGAGGCGGCCAGGGTGACGATACCCGCACCACAGCCACGATACCTGCTGGAGGCGGCCAGGGTGACGATACCCGCACCACAGCCACGATACCTGCTGGAGGCGGCCAGGATGACAATATAAGTGTTCCTCCAGAGATGAAGCAGCAAACTTTTGACTACAAAATATAAACTGAAGGTAGAGGGGGGTGGGGGAGGGGTTTAATGTGGGGGGGAGGGGTTTAATGTGGGGGGGAGGGGTTTAGGAGCAGAGGAGGTTGGGTAGGATGGGGAGGGTTCAGTATGTGGTAGGTAGGATGGGAAGGGTTCAGTATGTGGTGGGGAGGATTCAGTATGTGGTTGGGAGGGTTCAGTATGTGGTGGGTAGGATGGGAAGGGTTCAGTATGTGGTGGGTAGGATGGGGAGGGTTCAGTATGTGGTAGGTAGGATGGGGAGGGTTCAGTATATGGTAGGTAGGATGGGGAGGGTTCAGTATGTGGTGGGTAGGATGGGGAGGGGTTCAGTATGTGGTGGGTAGGATGGGGAGGGTTCAGTATGTGGTAGGTAGGATGGGGAGGGTTCAGTATGTGGTGGGTTGGATGGGGAGGGTTCAGTATGTGGTAGGTAGGATGGGAAGGGTTCAGTATGTAGCAGGTAGGATGGGAAGGGTTCAGTATGTGGCAGGTAGGATGGCGAGGGTTCAGTATGTGGCAGGTAGGATGGGGAGGGTTCAGTATGTGGCAGGTAGGATGGTGAGGGTTCAGTATGTGGCAGGTAGGATGGGGAGGGTTCAGTATGTGGTAGGTAGGATGGGGAGTGTTCAGTATGTGGTAGGTAGGATGGGGAGGGTTCAGTATGTGGCAGGTAGGATGGGAAGGGTTCAGTATGTGGCAGGTAGGATGGCGAGGGTTCAGTATGTGGCAGGTAGGATGGGGAGGGTTCAGTATGTGGCAGGTAGGATGGCGAGGGTTCAGTATGTGGCAGGTAGGATGGCGAGGGTTCAGTATGTGGCAGGTAGGATGGGGAAGGTTCAGTATGTGGTAGGTAGGATGGGGAGGGTTCAGTATGTGGCAGGTAGGATGGCGAGGGTTCAGTATGTGGCAGGTAGGATGGGGAGGGTTCAGTATGTGGCAGGTAGGATGGCGAGGGTTCAGTATGTGACAGGTAGGATGGCGAGGGTTCAGTATGTGGCAGGTAGGATGGGGAGGGTTCAGTATGTGGCAGGTAGGATGGCGAGGGTTCAGTATGTGACAGGTAGGATGGCGAGGGTTCAGTATGTGGTAGATAGGATGGCGAGGGTTCAGTATGTGGCAGGTAGGATGGCGAGGGTTCAGTATTTGGTAGGTAGGATGGGGAAGGTTCAGTATGTGGTGGGTAGGATGGGGAAGGTTCAGTATGTGGCAGGTAGGATGGTGAGAGTTCAGTACGTGGTGGGTAGGATGGGGAAGGTTCAGTATGTGGTGGGTAGGATGGGGAAGGTTCAGTATGTGGTGGGTAGGATGGGGAGGGGTTCAGTATGTGGTGGGTAGGATGGGGAAGGTTCAGTATGTGGCAGGTAGGATGGCGAGGGTTCAGTATGTGGTAGGTAGGATGGGAAGGGTTCAGTATGTGGTGGGTAGGATGGGGAGGGTTCAGTATGTGGCGGGTAGGATGGCGAGGGTTCAGTATGTGGTAGGTAGGATGGGGAGGGTTCAGTATGTGGTGGGTAGGATGAGGAGGGGTTCAGTATGTGGCAGGTAGGATGGGGAGGGTTCAGTATGTGGCGGGTAGGATGGGGAGGGTTCAGTATGTGGCGGGTAGGATGGGGAGGGTTCAGTATGTGGTAGGTAGGATGGGGAGGGTTCAGTATGTGGTAGGTAGGATGGGGCGGGTTCAGTATGTGGTGGGTAGGATGGGGAGGGTTCAGTATTTGGTAGGTAGGATGGGGAAGGTTCAGTATGTGGTGGATAGGATGGGGAAGGGTTCAATATGTGGAAGGTAGGATGGGGAGGGGTTCAGTATGTGGTGGGTAGGATGGGGAGGGTTCAGTATGTGGTGGGTAGGATGGAGAGGGTTCAGTACGTGGTGGGTAGGATGGGGAGGGTTCAGTATGTGGTGGGTAGGATGGGGAGGGTTCAGTATGTGGTGGGTAGGATGGGGAGGGTTCAGTATGTGGTGGGTAGGATGGGGAGGGTTCAGTATGTGGTGGGTAGGATGGGGAGGGGTTCAGTATGTGGTGGGTAGGATGGGGAGGGTTCAGTATGTGGTGGGTAGGATGGGGAGGGTTCAGTATGTGGTAGGTAGGATGAGGAGGGTTCAGTATGTGGTAGGTAGGATGGGGAGGGTTCAGTATGTGGTAGGTAGGATGGGGGAGGGTTCAGTATGTGGTAGGTAGGATGGCGAGGGTTCAGTATGTGGGAGGAATATTTTTCTCCGCTAATGAAGTATTAATTAATTGACCTAATGAACGAATCCTTAAATTCCCGTTTAGTTAACTGTTCACCTGCTGATTAATTACCTGAGGTAAGAGCTAATCAGTCAACTGCCTGATTGTCCCATTGGCGGCTTACTCTTGACAGACACGCTGACAGTCTGTCTGATTGACTGTATTCCTCGCCCACTGGCTGTTACTCTATTATGATGAGACTGGGTGCGTTACCTCTTGACATGGCTCTTGAAATGGCTCTTGACGTGGCTATTGACACGGTTCTTTACGTGGCTCTTTAAATGGCTCTTTACGTAGCTCTTGACGTGACTCTTGACGTGGCTCTTGACGTAAGTCAACAATAATATTACAAATTATTATTATTTTGTTATTAATAGTATTAGAAATTAATATTTCAAAAACTCGACCAAATTTTTTTATGTGACTCTTGATCTGTTTCATGACAACTCTTAACACGATTCTTGACATGAATCTCGACCTTCTGCTTTTGATGACTAAAGAGTCATCAAACTGACTTATGCTATGACTATTGAACTGACTTTTGATATGACTCTTGAACTGACTTATGTTATGACTCTTGAACTGACTTATGCTATGACTATTGAACTGACTTATGTTATGACTCTTGAACTGACTTATGCTATGACTCTTGAACTGACTTTTGATATGACTTGAACTGACTTTTGATTTGACTATTGACCTTACTCTTAGCCTGATTCTTGCCCTGACCCTGACTCTTGACACCACTATTGACCAGACTCCAGACCTGACCACCGACCTGACTCCAGACTGGACGGCCTTCCTAACTTGTTGGAACACCTGACATTTGAAGGAAATACCTTACGAAATTTGTCATTGTAACAGACTGTTGAACTTCCCAGCTGGCTGATGACTGGTTTAACTGTTGTGGTGACTGACTGGCTGACTTGTTAACTGACTGTTGTACTGGCTAGCTAATTATTGCACTGGCAGACAGACTGGTTTGTTAACTTGTTAACTGACTGTTGTACTGGCTAGCTAATTATTGCACTGGCTGACAGACTGGTTTGTTAACTGGTTAGATGACTGTTGTTGGACTGACAGACTGGCTGGCAGTCAGTCAACCTCAGACTTCTCTTTTTTAATCGCCTGCGTTCCACGAATTTTTGTTTGATTGCGTTTTGCTCCGTAACTCCAGTCCCAGTCCCGGGTCTGGGATGGTTGGTGGGATGGTCCCGAGGCTGGGATGGTTGGTGGGATGGTCCCGGGTCTGGGATGGTTGGTGGGATGGTCCCGGGGCTGGGATGGTTGGTGGGATGGTCCCGGGTCTGGGATGGTTGGTGGGATGGTCATGAGGCTGGGATGGTTGGTGGGATGGTCCCGGTGCTGGGATGGTTGGTGGGATGGTCCCGGGGCTGGGATGGTTGGTGGGATGGTCCCGGGGCTGGGATGGTTGGTGGGATGGTCCCGGTGCTGGGATGGTTGGTGGGATGGTCCCGGGGCTGGGATGGTTGGTGGGATGGTCCCGGGTCTGGGATGGTTGGTGGGATGGTCATGAGGCTGGGATGGTTGGTGGGATGGTCCTGGGGCTGGGATGGTTGGTGGGATGGTCCCGAGGCTGGGATGGTTGGTGGGATGGTCCTGGGGCTGGGATGGTTGGTGGGATGGTCCCGGGCCTGGGATGGTCGGTGGGATGGTCCCGGGTCTGGGATGGTTGGTGGGATGGTCATGAGGCTGGGATGGTTGGTGGGATGGTCCCGGTGCTGGGATGGTTGGTGGGATGGTCCCGGGGCTGGGATGGTTGGTGGGATGATCCCGGTGCTGGGATGGTTGGTGGGATGGTCCCGGGTCTGGGATGGTTGGTGGGATGGTCCCGGGTCTGGGATGGTTGGTGGGATGGTCATGAGGCTGGGATGGTTGGTGGGATGGTCCTGGGGCTGGGATGGTTGGTGGGATGGTCCCGAGGCTGGGATGGTTGGTGGGATGGTCCTGGGGCTGGGATGGTTGGTGGGATGGTCCCGGGCCTGGGATGGTTGGTGGGATGGTCCCGGGTCTGGGATGGTTGGTGGGATGGTCATGAGGCTGGGATGGTTGGTGGGATGGTCATGAGGCTGGGATGGTTGGTGGGATGGTCCCGGTGCTGGGATGGTTGGTGGGATGGTCCCGGGGCTGGGATGGTTGGTGGGATGGTCCCGGGGCTGGGATGGTTGGTGGGATGGTCCCGGGTCTGGGATGGTTGGTGGGATGGTCCCGAGGCTGGGATGGTCCCGAGGCTGGGATGGTCCCGAGGCTGGGATGGTCCCGAGGCTGGGATGGTTGGTGGGATGGTCCCGGGCCTGGGATGGTTGGTGGGATGGTCCCGGGCCTGGGATGGTTTGTGGGATGGTCCTGGGGCTGGGATGGTTGGTGGGATGGTCCCGGGCCTGGGATGGTTGGTGGGATGGTCCCGGGGCTGGGATGGTCCCGAGGCTGGGATGGTTGGTGGGATGGTCCCGGGTCTGGGATGGTCCCGGGGCTGGGATGGTTGGTGGGATGGTCCCGGGTCTGGGATTGTTGGTGGGATGATCCCGGTGCTGGGATGGTTGGTGGGATGGTCCCGGGGCTGGGATGGTTGGTGGGATGGTCCCGGGTCTGGGATGGTTGGTGGGATGGTCCCGGGCCTGGGATGGTTGGTGGGATGGTCCCGGGCCTGGGATGGTTGGTGGGCTGGAACAGGCAGTGGGATGCTGAAACATGAAGTGGGATTTATACAACATGTGGGATTAATCCAGATGTTTTAACAGCTGG